TTCATACATAGGAAAAGGTCTGCAGGGACAGGTATAACTTCATAGTGGTCACCCCTGGAAGGTGAGAATGGGGAAGGACCTTAATGGAATAACTCTCACATTTTACAATATTGCATATTCCTCGGCCGTGCTTCCCGACTTAAAAGTACTTACATGTGCTTTAATTTAAGGTTAAGGGCTTCCCTATACTTTTCTTCATCAGAGCTCAATTAAACCTCCACATAATCCAAACAGGAATTACTGAGTATTTTAAACAGGCGGTAGAAACTTTCCAGCCCCCCCTTCTCTCCTATTCCTGCAAGAAATAACTTAAGCGGCTATTTTCATGATATACTCGATGAAAGTTGCTTTTGTTTCCTCCACAGAAGTGTCAAAATACACATCTTTTAAGCATGACTCTTCTAACAATACGGCATGAACACATGACAAATGTGAATTTAACTCGTGAATGAGAGAACCGCCAGGACAGTAAAAAAGCATTTGAGGAACTGAGTGTTTATGGCCCATGAAGACAGAATTCAGGCCTCGAGTTGCCAGGTTAGAGTCAAAACTGGTCAATGTCCTTCAGGGCGATAAAACCATAACCTACTTAGGGTTACTGTTTGCACGAGACAGAAATTATTTGCATCTCCACTGGGCAAAAGTCTACAAATTACATGTCATCTCACAGAGCCTGGGCCCTAAGCAACAGTAAACAGAAAACCAAAGAAAGACGCAGCCCCACAGAGTGAAATCGTTCCTCGGTGGCTCTGTTGGGCTGTGCTCAGTATGATATTGAAAGGACTTGCAATCCTCCCTTTGCCTGATTTATAAATGTTGGATACTTTTCTTAACATTAGATATAAATTTACATATTGGCAGCTGTGGCTTTCAATTTTCCAAACAGAGCTTGCTCTTAATATTAATCTACTTTTCAACATCTTTTGTGTCTGTTTTCAATCAGGAGGGAAAATTACCAACAAGCAATTCTGGAATTGCAATAACGTTCCATCATAAAAACTAAATATATTTTAATATTGTTTTGATACTCACCTTTATGGGTACTAAAACATTTTATGAGCAATTTAGGAGCAATTTAGATTTTGTATCAGGACAAAAATAAATAAGTAAAAAAGAGTCCACACATCTGCTTCAAGTTGATGCCAGCAACAACAAAAATAACAATTGATACTAACTGCAGTTTCTAATGTTTACACAGATTTTGGACATAGCTTTGGGCAAGTTACTGAATTTCTTAGCCTCAGCTTCCTCCTCTGTGAAAAATACGACCTTCTTCACTGTACTACTGCATGCGTGATTGGATGCTGGCAGATACAAAATTGGGATTCTACTGCTGAGCTCTTATTTCATTGTTATATGCATATTCACAAGTCAATTTCTGCTTTTTAGACTTCCTTGTAGTCTCTTTCTTTCTATTATTTGTCTTTTGCTACATGGGTGCATACTTTATCTTCTTGTGATTTAAAAAAAGCATAAACTACTTTTTAAAAATCTTACCAATTGCTTTGTTTTTGTAAAAGAATGGTCTTTGTAAAGAATGGTCTTTTGATGACCCCTAACATTAGGTATGATATTTTAAAAAATCTCTCTCTCTCTCTTTGACCAAATGCCATTTTAAACTGCAATCCCTTCCACATAATTTACTATCACATTTATGAGAAATACAGAAAACACCAAAATGTGAATTTACCTAGAAGTTATTAAAATTACACACTTAGCTCACATAGCAACTGTTCACTTTGCTCTGCACTAGGCTCCTGAACAGTTAGTCCATGTGTGCCCACAATTAGTTTAAAATAGAAAAAACCAGCCTGCTCACTCAAATACATTAAATAAATACGCCATAAGAAGTAAAACTTCAGTAACATAGCTTCAGAAAGAGACATAGCCTACCATTTACTCAACACAAGCTTCTAGTCAGAGGGTATCACATGAACCAAACTGCAGTTGTGCTGCTTATTTAGATGAAAGCAGAAGAGGCAGCGTTTTTCAGGACTCTCCCATCTGGTTTATGTGTGTGTGTGGTTAGGTGTTTTGAAGTACTCTCATGTTTAGCCTTTAATTTGCCCGAAATAACTTTATTAAGTATAGTTTGCAAGCATAGAAGACTATGAGACCCAAAAAGCTTGAAAAATTTAAAAAGTTTAAATTAAAAAGTTTAAATTAAAAATTAAAAAGTTTTAACAATGGTACAGAAACTCTGAATATATTTAAAACTATTGAATCGTACACTTTAAATGGGTAAATTATATGATACGTGAATTATACTTTAATAAAGCTTTTTGGTACAGAAAATAGAAAAATATGAGTAAAGATTCATGCCATTATAGTTGATGTAGTTGTTAATAAATATAATTACATAATTTCAAATTGTTACTGCTTCCATAAAATTGTTTTCATACTCAATTGATATAGTTTTCTATCTGTAAAAAAGTAGATAGGTATCTTGGGCTAAAATGGAATTAATCATTTTTCCAATTAAAAATGAATATTTTCATTTAATGGCTTTTCACTTAGATTAAGTATTTTCAGGGACAAATTAAAGTCATTAAGCAAAAGATAATTATTTGAAACTTAGAGTTAAATTTGGCATTGAGATCTGTGTCCATGTAAATGTTGAATTGATTTGCTCTGAGCAGCAGAGTTGAAATATATTCTGCCCACTCAGAAAGACTTAAGACCCACAAAATGTCAGGGGGCCAAGACTATGTATACTGTTGCGAGGGTAGAAAGGCCAGTGAAAGACAGAAAAATCAGGAAAGATACAGAATAGGGCAATTAGATAATGACTAAAAGCTGATTTGGAAATCTAGTTTGCTATTTCACCAGCTGGACTATAATTGCTATCACAAAGTCAATCAATTGGCTTCATTCAGTTTGAGATTTCAGAAAAAAGAAAAAACAGCTCCATGGTTAAGAGTTAAGATCAATATTCTAAGTTCAAAAGTAACTTAAATCCACTTCTCTCTCTTACCTTACTTTGTGAAAGACAAACCTCATAACAAACCACAATTTTCTGCCTTGTTTTGGCAGGAGAAAAAAGTGGAAAACAATATAGTTTGGGTAATTTTCTGGTAAAAAAAAGAAAATGTGGGCATCTGAATGATAGCAAACATAAAAAAATCTTTAAGGCATATATCAAAGGTATTATTTAGGTATCAATCATAAATTTGGACTCTGAATGTATAATGCCTAAAGTTCTGAAGATGATAAATGATGAAAATATATTCTTCTTTAGTTATTTCAAGTACCTTAAGACAAAAATAACTTAAGAGAAAAATAAGTGCCTGAATTCTAATCAGCTAATGCTGATTCTGAACTTGAGTGAATTTTTTTTCTGATAAAGAATGGAGAAATGTTGAATAACAAATCCAACAAACCAAATGAAATTAACAAGTTTTGGGTTTTTTTAATATTACATCTGATTGCAGTCAAGAGTAAGGAAAAGAATATGAGCCAAGAGAAAATAAAGTTATTGAAGCATTATCTAAGTATTTGATGTTCTGGATAGAATGGCTTGACACTCTCCCAAGGTCTAGGGACCTTGCTTTTTAAATAAAAGTTTTCTTAAGGGCGATTTTTGTACATTTTAATGCAACTTTATAAATTCTTTTAAAGACATTTCCAACAAATAGGAAGATAAGTTATATTGGAAAATGTGAATAATTCCAGAAATATGGAGACTTAGTTTCCTTTCAAACTTCATTTCCTTTTAATATTCATTCACCTTCAGCCCAAATTCTCCACGTATTTTGCCAGATATTATTTATTAACTACAAACTGGGTGATTACTTCTGCTTCATGAGATCAGTTAAACTCAAAAAAAAAAACAAAAACCTTTTAAGGCTGATGATGGTGATTGCATCTGAGAAAGTCTGAGAAAGTCGCAGAAGTTACTCTGGGCCTTTCTCCTGATTAGGGTAATTTCCACGCAGGAGTTTTTCCACAGCAATAACAAACTACTTTGGGAGATCCCAAGATGCAGTATCTGTATCTTTGGAAGTCAAACCTCAACAATAAAGACAAACAAAAAAATGTAGACAAGACATGACTGGCTTTGGTTGTTCGCCCTTTATTCTTCCCAGTTCTGGTCACTTCACCATAACCTAATCATTGGCTGGCAGCAACCAAGTAAAATAGATTTTTTTAAGCCTTATATTTACTAAATACGTTTTGTCAGTTCCTCACCTCTTTACCCACCCCAATCCTACTCCCAATTAATTATGTGAAGAGTTTGAACAGTGCTTGACTTATAATAAGCAGTAAATGTTGATGATGACAATAATTATTGTCATTATCTGGAGACAGAAAACTATGTTCAATACTTAAATTCTAACCTATCTTAGCAATGACTTCTAGAGAAAATCAAGTGTAAGTTGAATTCTCTGACGTTGCTCTCATGTAGGACATTTGTTTATTTTTAAGTCCAAATGTTATATCTCTCTAGCCTAGCTACATAAAATAGCTTTGCTCTCAAAGCAAATGCCATCGGGAAGAAAATGGAAAGGGACTATTCTACAATAGATGAAAAGAACTCAGAAACATAACAAAATGCAATGTAACTTGATTGACTCCAGATCCAGATATAAAAATCTACCCAAGACATTTTGAAAACAATTAGGAAATTAGAATCTGGGTTGGGTATGGATTATATTATAGAATTGTTAATTTTATAAGGTATTATAATGGTATTGTGACTATAAAGAGGGATGTCTCTCTTCTTTTGGCGGGGATGTCTTAGAAGGTGCAGGCTAAAATATTTAGGGGTAAAGTATTATGGTATCAACAACTTATTTTCAAATGGTTCAACAAAATGTTATATATTTAAATATAGAAAAAAAAGCAAATGTGAAAAAATGTTAACTGGTGAATCTAAGTAAACAGTTTATAGGTGTTTAGTGTATGACACTTCAACTTTTCAGTAGATGTAAATATTTTAAAATAAAAAGTTGGGAATAAAAATATAGCAAAAAATTGTTTTACTGAAAAAATACCACACGTTTCTTTAAATATTTTACTGTAATAATATATAATTACAATTATTATTTATTTACACTTTATAAAAAGCATACCTATTCAACATAAATAGTGCACCTGAAATTAACTACCTTAATTAAATACAGAGGGTGCCAAAAAAAAAATGTACATACATTTTAAGAAAAGAGCTGTATTAAAATTGTAATAATATATACCGATAACAAAAGATGAATACAAGTCATGTGTATACATTTTTTTAGTACCCCTGGTATATTATTTAACTTTCAGTGTTAATGCATGAATGCCTTTATCTTCAATATAAATCAAAATAGCTCAGCACCTACTTTAGAGACAATGAGATGCCAGGTGTAGGGATCATGCATTAATGTTTCAATTAAGTTGAAATTTTCTATAATTGTTTTCAGTAATTTCTTCTTTGTTTTTCTTCTTTGTCTAGCATAGTCTGTTTTAAGCTCAAAGTAGCATCTTGAAATCCAGGATTTAAGTCTAATACTTTCTTGAAATCTTCCAAAGCATCATCAAAGTGTCCTGTACCAGAATCCAAAAAAAAAAAAAAATGGAAAAAAGAGATTATTCTTTTTATTATTATTCATAGCAAAGTTTGGATACACATACTTTTGCTTTTATGTTTACGAGCTTTCAACCATTCCTAGTAAAGGATTTTTTTCCTCTTAATAATAATATAGGGAATGTTTATCAAAGTAGTTTTGACTGCCCTTACAGAATAATATACTTAAAATTAGCTATGGGTTTATTTATTGAGACTTAACAGGTAAATAGCATAAATCATCATAAAATTTCAACAAAATTATATTACCTATTTTACATAATTACAGTAAATTAAGAAAGAGGACATTAATATTCTTTTCAACACTTTAAATGAGAAATAGGACCTGTTCCCTTGATCCCAAAGATCTAAAACCCCTTCACATTATATTGCCTCGTATGCCTTCAAAGATTTTAACTCAGAAAAGTTTCACAGGTGACCATTAGCATTACCCTTATTTCGCAGTTGGGAACATATAGGCACAAAGTAATCGGGTCACCCTCACTCCTGCGCCCACGTCCAATTCCCACATTCCCACCCCAGCACTCTGCTGTGATCTCTAATGCCTATTGAAAGCCCAAAATAAACTCAGCAACAACTCCTTTGTTACAGGCTCTAAACCTAAATTTCCCATAACTTTAAGACTTAATGATTACTACCTTAGTTTACAAGATTCAAGAGCTCTAAATTCAGAGAACATAGTCAAGGACAAAAGGAAAAGAGGGAGGAAAAAGTCTTACCCAGCCTATACAGTATCAACCCTCTGTTGTAGTATGGGACTTCGAAATTGGGTTGGACTTCTATGGCAGATGTGTAGTCATCGATGGCTTCATAAAAATCAACCCTGAAGTACTTGATTTGCCCCCTGTTGTTGTACGCGGTAGCCAAATCCTCAGGGCTGCATTTGTTTTAAAGAAAAAGTTCACATTGAAAACACCGTGTTACCACATTCCTCTCGTTTCCACTTTCATTCTTTTTTGGGTATTGTCAAACTTCATAGCCTATAAATAACATGCAGTTTCCACACTGAGAAACCAAGCTGAAGAAACAAAGTGCAAAGAAATAAAGCAGTGGGATCAATTTTTGTTTAATCCCATTATCTACGTTTGTAGGGTTATAGCACTGCAATGTCAATCAGAAGAGCACGTTCATTTTATAGTGTGCTCAAAGCGCCTGTTCATTGCCACCTTGTTTTGCTGAATATAGTATTAAAATCATTGTTCCTTTCTAAGCACATGCCAGCAGGGCAAAGAAGACAAATCAGACTCAAGCTGCAAGAGAAGGGGAAGCCAGCCCGAAGTTCCAGTTTGCTATGGGCATGCCACAAAGTGAACCATCCATTTTGTGTCCTAATTTTTAAGTGATCCCAAACAATGCGATTTGAAATCATTTTCCACCAATAAGGAAATACAAGTTAATCCTAAGTGAAAATTCAACACGCTGGTCCCCAGGGAATGATTTCTGGAGATAGAGTTGCTCTCCCTCCAGTTTTCGCTGGAATCCTCCCCAAGGCCAGGCTGCCTTCCTGCGAGGAGGGTGTCAAGGCTCCAGTCCATTTGGGGCTCCTGTGCGCAGAGTCAACTCTGCATCTGAGGGCTCCAGAGGCTGCCAAAGGAGCATTAAGTGAGCAGACTTTCCTGTAAGAGGCTGGACACCCAGGCAGCTCTGACAGCCACCAACAGCTCAACAGGTCACAGCCCTCCCCGCCCCGCCCCACCCCTGCTGGACAAATCATTGCTTACAGAACATTCATGAGCTCTGCTCCGTGTCAGAGATGATTCTGTTTCCTTTCTTTTATTCCAAAGGGATTCTCACATTTGAACCGAATAGGGAAGATGCAGCCTAAACTTAGGTCATTACTTTGTTATACCCCATAGTGCAAAGTACAGTCCTCAGAAAATATAGCACTGCAGTCAGTGTTATCAAAGGTCTATCCCCCTTAACATCTCGATCCTTGAGATGTCAGGCAGGGACTGTTAATTTCTGCTGCCACAAGAGGTACGTACAGCCTAGGGGTCTCTTTCAAGTTTGCTAATGATGGAGAAGAGCCACTGCAACTTCAGAAAATGTCTGTTTCTGTGAGCTATGACTGAGCGAGACCGGGTACCAGAATAGTTCCGGATGCCACCGGCACCATTGTTAAAACCTGGAGAGCAAGAGGACACGCTCCCTCCATCTGTCTGTTATACTTGGTAAACTGCTACCCCATAAAGGGTTTTAAGAAAAATGCAGCCTCAGGGCTCCAGTTTCTAGTCATTAAATTTCTAAGCTTCAAAACTTTATTATAAACTTCTTATATTCAGAGGATCACAGAATGTTTGATTTAGAATTAGATCTCAGTACAACATATTCTGAAAGCCTACTTTTCATATGTAAGTTGTTTCATAGTTTAAAGACTTGGGCTAACAGTTGAAGCCAAAATTTTTTTCTGTAATATTGAGATATTTATAATAATAGTATATATCATAATGTAATTTAGCCAGGTTACCTAATCCAAATGTGGATTTTTTTTTTTTTAGCATTTGCTAACTTTAGCCAAGAAAAAACACTGGGAAATCAGGTTATGGCTAAGGCTGCACTTTTGGATTTTAAAAGAAAATGTTATAAACCAATCAGAGTGAAAGGCATTCAAAGACTGCAAATACTGTTTTAAAATGATTCCGTGACTCGATATGTTTAAAATACATTTAAACGCTAAAAGATACTTGTGAGGGGCAAAGTCGAAGTGGCAGAATTCAGTTTCAATCCATGAGTTCCTTAGAATTTCAGGACTGTGAGGAAACTGAAGGTTTATTGTACAGAAGAGAAACGGAGGCCGAGGAAAGGTCCGAGCTACATGGCAGGGCGGCCAGGCTTGCCATCCAGGCACCCTGAGCTCCCTTGCACTAAAACATGCAATTTTCTCACCTCATCTGGCAAGGGGCAGAAATTACATCTGCTACAAGCACACAGGGCTCTACGGTGGAGATGAGCCAGGAGGAAGCGCAACAAGACTAGACGGCATCAACACCCCTGTCGCTGCTGAGCCTGCTAGGTAAGTCTATTCTTAGAGCTTGAACCGAGGATAGAAAACTGTGCGTTCTATGTTTACTATTTCTTTAGGGGGGGGGGCGGTTGTACCGTCTGATTGCCTATTCAGAAACTTCTATTAACCATTATTTTGGTACGCTGTTGAAATGAGAAAGCGATTTTCTTTTCCTGGCTCCATTCATATGACTTTCACAACAACAGAGGAAGACGCTGAAGCCTCACACGGAAGACAAGCTCCAGAAAAACCAAATCCTTGAGGCGTAAGGAACCGGGTGATGGTGCAAACAACTCGAAAATGTAAAAAAAAAAAAAAAAAAAAAAAAAAAAAAAAGCTGTTCCTTCAGCCCCCTCTGTTCTTTCTTTTCTCATCCTGGTCCGCTCCACACCCTCCACAAGGACAAATGAGGCAAAACTTGGGCGTCGGAACAGGCGCTTCCACATCCAGGCACAAGCCCAAGGCGCTGGGGCGAGCGGGGATCAGGAGGTGACGATGCTAACGTCACAAAAAGGAGCGACGGCCAGGCACTCACTCGGCGCCTCCGGGTCCAAGAGCACAACAGCGCCATCACGCTTTCTTGCCGTCACCCTGAATCTGACGGAGCCAGGTCAAACCTGGGGATTTAACCGCCAACTCACAAGCCACGTAGGAGGCAGAAGTCTCTACTAAGGGACATCAGAGGGACGAATTCAGCAAATCGGGCAGCTGGGGGACTCGCAAGGCCCAGCCTCGGTCTCCTCGGCACACCAGCTGCAAGGTGGGGAAGAAAGGAGGGGAGCCAGTGGAGAACGCTGATGCGCGCGCCGACCCGAACCAACTCGAAACGCGAGCCATCGAACAACGAAAACGACGTGACCGACCAGTTAGGCTGCAGCACGGACCGGGTCCTCGATAGTAGGGCTTATGGGGCGGTCACGTCTTCTTAAGGAGCCTTCATTTTTGGAAATGCATTCCGAAATATCTACAAATAACACGAGGTCTGGGTGAAGCGATAATGCGGAAGCCGAAACCTGGTTACCCGGCGGTTCATGATATTATTTTCCATGTATTTAAACGTTTGTGGTGGTGGGAGTTCACGACCTGTGGCGCACAAAACACCCTCGCTCGTGAGGCTGGGGTGCGGCCGCGCGCTGGCTCCGCGACACCCGAGCGTGTGCCCGGCCCTCCCCGGGTCTGGGACGTCCCAGCGGCTAAAGCAGGGGTGGAAAAGCCCTCTGCGCTCCGAGTCGGGTGATAGACGAAAGGGGGACGGGCACCCGGGGAGAAACACGGCCGGCGCCCCGGCGCCCTTCGGAGGGTCCCGGGGGGACGCGCCGGGGACCGCGCGCCAAGACGCTCGCCTCTCCGCCTTTCCGAGGAAAGGAGCCCCAGCCCGCTGGGTCCTCGGCGCCCTCGAGCGCAGGCGCCGGAAGACGCCGACCTCCCGCCTCGAGACCACGCCGCGGACCCCACTTCTCGCGATAGTTACCTCCCGGCAGCTGCTCCGGAGGGGCCCGCACAGGCGCACTGGCGAATGTAGGCGGAATACAGCGCCTCGGCCCCCGGGTAGTCGCCCTTGTTGAAGTGCGCCTGGGCGAGGGCGAGGGTGGTCTGGGTTTCTTGCGCCTGTTGGCCTTGCATGGCCGCTGGAGGCCTGGCTTTCGGGGGCTAACGGGGCTAGTTTCTGAGGCGGCGCCCCAAGGCCGCTTCCGCGCCCTGGAATTGAACTTGACAGCTAAAGTGCTGCGTTCACAAACGGGGAAGTGCGGGCCTTATAAGGACCCGTCGTCTCGCGAGACCCATGAAACGTTGCCGGCGGAGCTCAGGCTGCCTGGGAAGCTTGGGCAGAGTCGGGCGAAGTGCGGCTCCGTGGTGGTGACTGCCGGCCCCGCTCGCCGCGTTTCCCGGGGAAGGGGTCGGCCAAACTGGACTCCACATCCGTGGCCTCACGTTGCGAGGAGCTTGCCCTTTGTTACAGGGAGGGGGGTGGGGGACTGACAGCCGAAGCGGAAAACACTTTGTTTTATGAAGGGCTTACTGGCCGTGAGTCTATTGTAGCAACCCACGGGTTCCAGCCTCCATCGTTTAGCAGGACACCCCTCAGAGGATGTTGTGAGTAGGCGGTGGTTACCATGAGTTTCGTTGTCCCACGGTCCGCAGTCCAAGACCCTCGACTGCAAGTTTCTCAACCTTTTTGAACCTCTGGAATAGTGTAAGGATTAGTTAGCCTTCTGTGTTGACAGTGTGTGGTCCATGATGTTACTTTACATTCCCTGGCTGCTATGCCAAAGGGAAACCCAGATAGCGATTTAAATACGTTTCATTCTAGGAAAAATTATGTAAAATGAGCAATAGTGCGAGGAGATTAAGAAAATTCCATTTACAATAGCATCAAAAAGAATAAAATATTTAGGAATTCACTAACCTAGGAGGTGAAAGACTTGTATAATGAAAATTATAAAACGTTCCTGAAAGTAAAGACAAATGGACATCCCATGTTCATGGATTGTAAAACAATATTATTAAGATGTTGATACTACCTAAAGCGGTCTTCAGATTAAATGGAATCCCTCAAAACCCCAGTGACATTTTTACAGAAATAGGAAAATCCATTTTAAAATTCACATGGAATTTCAAGGAATCCCAAATAGCCAAAACAATCTTGAAAAAGAACAAAATTGAAGAACTCATGCTTCCTGATGTCAAAGCTTACTACAAAGCTACAGTAATCAAAACAACGTGTCACAAAGTCTTCTCAATGCATGGTGCTGGGAAAACTGGATACCCACATGCAAAAGAATGAAGCTGGACACTAACCTAACACCATGTTTTTTAAAAATGAACTCAAAGTGGATTAAAGTCCTAACTGTAAAAGCTTAAAAATACAAAACTCTTAGAAGAAAACAAGCCAAAATCATGACATTGGATTTGGCAATGACTTCTTGGATATGAAACCAAAGGCACAGGCAACAAAAGAAAAAATAGACAAATTGGATTTCATGGAAATTAAAAACTTTTGAGCAACAAAAGACTATCAACAAAGTAAAAAGACAACCTAGATAATGGGAGAAAATATCTGCAAATCATGTTATCTAATAAGAGTGGGAAAGGCAGAGATGGAGATTCTGTGGGGCAGGCTGGGCTGCTGTGTCCGTTTACTAGTAAAACACACAAGGGATTCTAACATGGTGTCTTCATCACACTTGAGCAGCTCTGGTCTAAAGGATCCTGTAGGGCCCTCCCCTGCAACTGAGGTGCTGGAGCCAGGTTCAGTGGCTGCCCCTCTCCAACTCTCATGCCTGTCTCCCAGAGTCCACCGGCACTTGGTACTTCACCTGCAGAGTGGCGTCATCAAGCCTTCCTTCCACAAGCTCACCCACAAATACAACTGTAACAAGATCAGCCAGAAGTGTTATGTTTGCCTGCAACCCCATGCTATCATCTGTCACAAGTGTGGTCACACCAACCACCTGTGTCCCAAGGAGAAAGTCAAATAAGGCCCCTCCATGGGCTCCTCCTTCCCTCACCAGGTGGCCTTCCACCTGAGCCCCATGGCACTGGAGCCTCAATAAAACTTCCTTTTTGTTAACTGTCGCAGTATAAAAAGTAAAATAAAAATAATTTTAGAAAAACACACACATATATACACATATACATATACATATGTATATTCCAGAATATATAAAGCACTTTTAAACTCAACTTTTCCAAGGTAGGTGTACTATTTAGCATTTCCACCAGAAATGTATGAGGGTTTCAATTTTTCCATATCCTCACCAACACTTGTCAGTTTTAATTTTGACTATTATAGTGGGTGTGTAGAGGTATCTCATTTTTCTCTAAATTCCTCTAAATTTTACTAACTGGAAATCTAAACTATGCCAAATTAGAAATGAATATTTGAAAGTCTCTTAATATCTACTCTTTTAATTTTAGAGAAATCTCTTGAGAACAAATAGCTCTTTTTATGAAGAAAACAAAGTACAGCAATTTCTTGTTTCACCTAGTTTTTTCTTCTCTTAAATTCAATTAAAGTTAATGCCTTTAATTTAAAAAAAAAGGTTATTAAAAGAATTTTTACTTTCTCATCTACACGCTTTATGTATTTTAAAATTTTTCTACCATGAACGTGTTCCTTTTATGCTCAAATAACAACGTTAATTTCTTTAAAGAAAAAAACAAATGAATTGAGAAAATAATAATAGACTGTAGGGGGCAGCATAATATTGCTATTTGCGTTTTAGATATCTTGGAGCTATAACACCATCAAATTAAAGACTTGATTTTTTCTTAAAAGTCTGGTAACATAATTTTCCCCCATTTTTAATAAGAACTCTGTGTGACCTCTAAGGATTAATTCACTCTAACCTCCAGTCATCCGACGTTTGCCTGGTACCTTTATAGGTGGTGGTAGTTGATGTTTTTACTGTTTGGTAGCAAAAGTGATATTGTACATCTATTGTACCTCCTGTCTCTTTCTTCCTTATCCACACAGAAGTCCAACCCCCTCCTAACCAACCCCCACCAAAATATTTAAATCAACAAAGCAAATACCATATTATCTATAAGTTCTAGATAAAGGAAACAATATAAATACAAATAATTTTTTTACTTCAATATTTATTATTTTCATATTTTTTCACTTAATGACACATAAAACCTAAGACCTCAGATCCTGGAATATAAAAAGATAATTTCAAAGTGTGTTTTAGAAAAAAATGTATAATCAAGTCAGCATTTGTGCATGACAGCATGCAGGTCAGCAATGCTATGTTGCTTGGTAGGCACAGTGCTTATTTGTGTAGCTTCATCAGTCGGTTCTATCATCTCAATACTCTGGCCTATCGTGCTACTTTATCATAATTCACGCTAAGTTTTATGATAAAGAAGAGCTCAGCATTACTTAAAGGGAATCAGTTCATGTTTATTACAAGAAGAGAAAAATATAACCATTTCATATACTGTCTTCAATATACTGCCTCATTGGTATACCCAACTTCTCTCCAAGTATTTCTTATATATAGACAATTTTGCTTCTCTTTGCAAAACCCTTTCATCAACGGAGAGTTTATTGGTGTTGTTATCCTGAAATTTCCTTAATGTTGAATAAAACCAGCCAAGTCCACTCATACTGTGGATTTTTCTCTAGTACCATTTTCAAGCAAGAAATTATGGTAGATCACCCAAACTTTATATATATATATATAATCTCCCCCAAATAGTCATAAGCTTTTACAACAGTACAAAAGATATGCCTGAATGTGTGTGTGTGTGTGTGTGTGTATGTGTATACATACACATATGTGACAAGTCTGCAGTGAATGAGAGGTTGTTTTTAGAGATTTTGGTTTCTATATTAAACTGAACAAGAAGCAGTGACAGCAACTCAGCATCTATCTGAAATAGAGGAAAACTTCTAGCACTCAGGCAGCATGGAATTAGTGGCAAATGAGAACTTATAAAGCATTTAATATGTGTGAGGTCTTGATTCAGTTACCCATTGGTGGAATTTACTCTTGCCAGTCCTCCACCCAAGAAATACAGTTGAATCCATGACTGCTCAGCAGGCTAAGTAGCAACCTACAGCTGTGACCAGGTAAACTTGCCCCAGGGCCTCTTCTACACAGCAAGTGTGCATCTCTGGCCTCAAGCACATTCCATCACTGCGAACCCTGGCTCAAACCTCAACTCTGGTCCTTTCATAACCACATTATCAGGGGAGTGATGAAGCAGAATAGCGTCAGGACATAAGAACAGTACATACGTCAGGATTCAGGTACCATAAGCTTTCTACCCCACCGGCACCCTACCCGAATAATGTTCATCTAGCCCATCTCTTTCTCTTTGTTCCTCATTGTGTATTTCAAACTGATTCAATAAACCATGCAATTTGAGAATCCGCATTTGGGTTTTAACCCTTTCTGTTCCATGACCTCTGGAATAACTTGCTTGCTGGTGTATTCAGAGACAACTATTGTATTAAGGTAACTTCCCACAAGGCAAATGAATACAGACAGAGACTTCTAAGACTTCTGGTCTTCTCATTTTATTTAGGCACATGAGCCTGCTATCTATTGTAAACTCATCTAGGCTCTAAATCTCTTCTCATAGCTCACTATCTCAATCAGCAACAGACTTAACTTGTCTCTAAAGGACCAAAAACATAGGACATTGAGAGAGTTAACTGACCTAAGTATTGCAGCTGCAATAACAATGTTCATATTTCTATTTATTGCCTCTACTAAACATGAGCAAATAATCTTGATGAAATAGCACTAGAATCTGGTGTACAGCACATAAGTTCATGAGAAACAAATGGAAGAAATTACACATTACTGATTACAGTTTTTTTTTAATTATAATAACTCAAAACAGACACATATCAACAAAGAATCACTCCCTACTGCCTGAGAGAAGGGTCCAGCTGGAAACAATGTTTCAACTGAAACTATAACTACAAATGGATTTTTTTGTATAAATTTATATCATTATAAATAGAGCCAAGTTTTCTGCACAATAATATGTAGAGTAAATGCCAAATGCCATCTCTTAGATGAGACTAAAATGGTAGATAAAAAAGGAAAAGGTACAAAAAAAATAAGCCTATTAGAAACAATTCAAATTATAAAAAATGTCTCAAAATTCCTTCTTACTTCTGAAAATATAATATAGAAGACATTCAATACTTATTTAATTAAATACAGCTAGTGATAGGGCATATTTCAGTATTACAATTCAGCTCCTAATACAACTTTACTTCACTCCCATGTTTCCCCTAGCCCTCTGCCAAGATTTTTTAGTAAATTATTAATAGTAACCTTGACACTGTAAGAAAAAATTCTTTTTGAAATATTTCCATAGTATTATGTAACCAACTACAAGATAGATAGATAGATGATAGACAGATAGGAAATGTTTCTTTCATGCATTTTATATGAAAATCAGCATCATTTCATAGTTGTAATTTTACATAAAATTTTTACACAAAATTGTGTAAAAATACAACTATGAAATAATGATGCTGAGTTTCATATAAAACATGGAAGTCAACCTTATTATGTACAGTTATAGTTTTATATATATATATATATATATATATATATATATATTTTATAGTTACATACAATTTGTCATTTCTTTATCTCACTGAACTATGGCATAAGGGACAGAAGTTGTAGTTACTGATTTCCTGAGCCAGAACACAGTGTTTGCATACACTGCACATCCAGAACTGATACTCAGTGATTGGGCTTCCTGTGGCAACACATGTTGGCAGTTTCCCTTCCCCTCTGTAAAAATAAAGAGGAAAAACAATGAATTATACTTTAAAAGTTCTAATTACTTAAAACTTTATTATACTTAAAAATGGAGGAAGGTAAAACATTTCAAGGTAAACCAAATAAAAACTTTCCTTAAAATGAAAAAATAAAGCATTAATACACTTGCAAGACTGAATAAAATAGGACATAATGTTAAGGTAAATTACTACAAAATGTAGTGCTTTAATTATTGTATCACACTATTATATGTATAAAAATGCAAGTTTCTAATAAGGTAGAATGACATTTTCTAATTACAATTACGATTAGCCTACCCTTCAAGAAGGCTGTCCAATTCCGATTTTCTGTTATCTTTTGGAACATGTTTGGTGAAGATTTGTAGAGCAAGATCTTCATACTGCTGTTTCTGTTCTGAACTGAGGTTCTCTAAAGATTCCAGTTTAATAAAAGCTTTTGAACAAGTACCGAAAGCTCTACTGGCACATGCACAGAGAGCTAACAGAGAGTAGATCTCAACGGCAGGGATAATGTCTTCATAATCTCTCAGGTGAAGAGCTAGGAAAGACAGAACAATTTGGATTTTGAAAAGTAATCATGATTGTGCATGGGAAAGAATCTCTATATTAAGCTGTTTTAGTTTAACCTACATAAACTTTAGCAAACTTAAAGAAAACAATGGTAGGAGATCGGAGCACTAGCAGGAGAAAGCAGGCTACCTGATCTCCACGGCTCTGTAAGGCCAGCTAACAGCTCAGGTCCTGTAAATAGAACCATCGCCAAAGGATGCACGTGGCCAGTTAGAAGTACATACACAAACAAAAATGTCTGGTGTCAAAACACACATCTTTGGTTCCATAGAAATATGTTAGAAATTTCTGTGGCCTTCCAGAAAAAATAATATTATACTGTTAGTCATAATTCTCAAGACCAAAATATCATGTTTCTATTAAAAAAAGCAAAGTATGAAATCATTTGTTTTCTCTGTGTTTCTTTGAACAGATTATTGCTTTTCTGTTTGTCTTTTTGAAACAACAGAAATTTGAGAAAAAAAGTGAAAATGAGCCTCTAACTTGTCAGTTCAATTTATTTTTTGATACCCATCATATCTTATTTTCAGCTTTTCTATACTGAAGATATAATCTCTTTCTTTAAAAGGCACTGTAGAATTAATATCAGATTGGTAAGGAAATTGTATCTTGTTCTTCTCTAGACTTTGCAATCTTAAAAATATCTTGTTATAGTATAACACTGGAAATTTCATAAAACAATTTAAAACAATATATTCATGTATTTTACAACTAGATGCCTATAAACTGGTTTGGGGGTCAAATGTTATAACAACGTTCAAGAATTTACAAAAAGTACTTTCATTCAATTATAATAAAGAATAACCTAATTTTACAGGTCTATAGGCAATAATTTACAAGGCACATATTGTTTCAGATCATTTTATCATGGGAAAACAAAAATATTAAAGTATATGGATATCTTCACCCAGTAGGTGAAGAATCTCAAGTAAAAGGTCTAATTTATCATATAGAAGTCTAGAAATTGTGCACAAACTACATAACATGTAACCATTTTAAGTAGTGTATAATTTATATCACATTAATCAGTTAACACTAAATGAAGGTCAGTTATAAAATAACCATAAAAATAAAAATGATTTCTATGTATAACAGACAACCAATTAGAAAAAATTCCAGTCCCATTGCTAACAATAAAAATAGGAATAAACTGCAAAAGGAATGTTCAGAGCATACAAGAAAACTACAGAGCTTTAGACAGAAACACAGATATACTAAAGGCTTTTAAAAATTGATGTTTCTGGATGGGAAAACTCAATATTGTAATTATATCAAGATCCCAATATGAATACATTAAAATAATGCAATTCTAATTCAAAATCTAATGGAACTTCATTAAAACTCCCCCCACCCTCAAAAAGATTCTAAAATTAATCTGGATGAACAAATGCAAGAGATACCCAATTTTTTTTTCAAAAAAGAAGAGTAATTAAGGTGAGCTGAAATTCTGGATATTAAAATGTAAAAGTAAGGTACTGACACAGAAATCATGATTCAAAAATAATAGTCTAGGAAGAGATTAAGAGTATGTGTGAATTTAGTTTCATGAAGGTAGAATTTCAAATCTATGAGAAAATAAGTTTTTACTAAACAGTTTTAGGATAATTAAGAAGTTATAATAAAATGTAATATTTAATAACCTTGACGTGAAGAACTTCCTGACCATGACCCCTAAACAAGACTGATTGAGAGGACTATATCAGAAAACACTATGAATATCATCACCACGGCTATCACTTCTTGAGGGCTCACACTCACTGCTCAAGCATAAGAAGCGAATTATCTTTTTGTGAATTTCTGACTTAATCTTCAAAAGAACCCTATGGAGGAGATAGTATCCACACTTTTCACAAAGAGAAACTGAAACTTAGGGAGTTTAAATAATTATAACTAATAAATGCTAGGAAAAATCAATATATAGGGCAGAGGGTTGCTATATATAATTTCTAAAGAGCTCTTACAAAAATAAAAAAATAAAAAACATCAGTACAGAATTCCAGAAACATTAAAATCAAAGAATTTCTCTCACAGGTCTCTTTTAAAGGTCATGCCATTAGAAGATAGACTGATGATCTATTAGGGTGTGATGTGTGTTGGTGACGACACAAGCAGCAGACTGATGACTTCACAGTGGCCCAACCAATGTGACACAGGAAGGCTGGGGTGGATGGTGACAGTGTCTGAAGTGCTGTCATAGCCCATCTGAAAGCACTGTAATGGTTTAGTCATTCATATGTTTTGGTTTATAATTCTCATAATTATGCTCTTTTGAAATTAATATATCTAAACTTTATGATTAATATAATTAATCCAGAAATGAAGACTGTGATACAACATGTAAATAATCTTCTATAAATTATAGTATATAAATACAATGGCATATTGTAGGGCCGGCCGAGTGGCTCAGTTGGTTAAGAGCTTGCTCAAGAGTTTGAGCTCTGAGCAACAGTGGTTCGAGGCCCGGCCCGAGCTGAGCACCTGCTGAGCTGCCAATAGGTAGCAGGATGGCTCAGCTAAAAAAAAAAAAAAA